CTCTCTCTCTCTCTCTCTCTCTCTCTCTCTCTCTCTCTCTCTCTCTCTCTCTCTCTCTCTCTCTCTCTCTCTGAAGGAAAAAGGTCCATCTGGTACTCTCTCTCTCTCTCTCTCTCTCTCTCTCTCTCTCTCTCTCTCTCTCTCTCTCTCTCTCTCTCTCTCAGAGCATAGCAAACAAGCATCAATTGTTTATGCGAAGATACACTGGGACAATTCTTGAAGGAAAAAGGTCCATCTGGTATACACTGGGACGATTCTTGAAGAAACCGGTCCGTCTGGTATTCTGCAGTATCCATCGAAACAAACGGGATTTTAATAACGTACCAGCGCACATGGATCAATGGTATGAACATTTCATTGTGGGTTAACAAAGTGAAACGGTTTCACCCAGTTGACACGACATTTGCAGACACTGAGATTCGATCCCTAGGCCTATGCCTGAACCCTGTACATTGACCCTGTGTCCTGCGTGAGATTCGATACCTAGACCTATGCCTGTACCCTCTACATCTACCCAGTGACTGTGTGAGATTCGAACCCACGACCTGTCCTGTGTCATAGGTTAGTTCCAGGTCGGGAAGTTGGACTTTATCCCTAGGTCTGTAGGTTAGTAGTTGGGTATGTTACCGGTTGTCCTAGGAATGCCTGTTCTAGAAGTCTATACCTGAGTCTACTGAGGGCGTAGAGTCAGTCTGTAGGTCTGCAGGCTCTAGAAGGCTGTAGGTCCGTATAGGCCGGTCCAGTCAGCAAATATCAGGGAAGGGCTGCACGTGGGGGAAGGTTCTGGTCACGCGGTATGCAAAAGGGTCCGGAACACGCTTTCTGGGGCCAGCAGCCACACGTTTTGGGCCAGAAAGGCCCACGCGGTTTGGAAACTTGCAGACCCGGGGCCCACACATTTAGAGGCCCAGGCCCACGAGGTAAGAGGCCAGGCCCACGCGTTTTGAGGCAGGGCCTGGCCACCTCCGAAGAATAAAAAATAAAGAGGCAGCGTCCAGTCATTCATGCATTTGCCTGTGAGCCATGCGGAAGCGCTGCCTTGGTGACTTGTGCATGGAGGTCTGCAGGTGCCCGGAGCTGAAGTGGGCAGTGAGGAAGACGACGGCCATAGCTGGCCAGGAGGAAGGCGATGGCGGCCATAGCCGCCCAGCTGTTGTCTCAGACAGAGATGCGTGCATGAGGGAGAGTGAGGCTGGTGGTGGAGACTGTTCGGCGGCCATAGCCGCAAGTTGTATAGTTGACTTGAAATGAGTTTTAAGTGCAAGTTCATTGTTGATTCTGAGTTGGAGAAGTTGTTTGCCATCGATCCATGGCCTATTTTTGGTTCACTGGGAGCTTTGGCAAGTACCATTGGTGGTGTTATGTACATGCACAAATGGGTTGATTTATTTTTCTCTGTTTTTTTATGTTTAACCTCCAATCCTTTTCTTCGAATTTCCTTTTTGTCCATGTATGCATGTTGCAAACAAGTTTGGAGTGCAGTCTGATTTCAAAAGCATGTGTTTTTTGAATTCTGACCGAATCATATTTGCAAAGGAATAAGTCGATACTTTCTCAGGCATAGGACCCATCCATGCACGCAAGGAATCGAAACTGGCACCCTCAGCCACAAGAGCCAAGTCTCTTAACCACTACAGTCATAACACGACGTACAAAAGTGCAACCATACCCCTCTTGATATCCACCCCATCCCTGCATGGTTGTAGCGTCCTTGCACACACAACGCCACCACACAGGCAATTCTCCCAAACTTCGCTGCGATGCAGCATGACCGTCATCTAAACGGGGCTTTACGCACAGGCCACCACATTCCTGGTACAATTTCCAGGCTGGTTACCGGGCTTGAGTACAGTGAATACTTTCTCAGGTCTCGAACCCGTCCCTGCACGCATGAAATACAATCGGTCGGCTCCCTCAGCCGCACGATCCAAGTCTCTTAACCGCTACAGCGATGACATGGTGTACAAAAGAGGAACCATACCGGTCGTGATATACACTCCACCCCTGCTTGGCTGCAGGATCTGCCGAAACAAAAGTGTTTCGAATGACCTGGCGGACGTCAATGAGAGCGCTTTTTTCCTCACTAGCTAACCCGCAGTTTTCATAAAAATGAGGAATGGTTTTCTTTATTGGTTTTTCCGTTTCAGTGTGTTGTACTCATTTTCGGGGCTCCACACCGTGCACCATACTCGTGCCCAGCAACTAAAGGCTTGAAGTCGTACCCGGCGTAGATGTTTCTGAAATCTATGTTATCGATTCCTCTCAATCTGTTTTTCTGCAGTGTTGAGGAACAAGTGGTGAGTCGTGCTCATAGAATGGGTGCAACCAAACCTGTGCAAGTGGAAGTGCTGGCAATGAGTGGAACAATCGAGGAACAGATGCTGAACCTGCTACAGGTAAAAAATCTCTCTCTCTCTCTCTCTCTCTCTCTCTCTCTCTCTCTCTCTCTCTCTCTCTCTCTCTCTCTCTCTCTCNTCTCTCTCTCTCTCTCTCTCTCTCTCTCTCTCTCTCTCTCTCTCTCTCTCTCTGTGTGTGTGTGTGTGTGTGTGTGTGTGTGTGTGTGTGAAAGAGTATGTGCGACAAGGCACATGATGGGAAGAAATATATTTACCATCGACTCTCTGAAATATTTTATCGGCGCACATTAGGAATGAAAACTTGTAGGCATGTTACAGACGCATCCAGTGCTGGAAAATGCTCCCACTGCACTTTGCGGGCGAACTAGTTGGTACAGACGCATCCAGTGCTGGAAAATGCTCCCGCTGCACTTTGCGGGGAGAACTAGTTGTTACAGACGCATCCAGTACTGGAAGGTGGGGAATGACTATGCCAGACTACACGAGCACCCATGCTCCCACTGTTGGGTCGTGTTGTTGATGCGTTAGGAGTATCTATTGATGGAAAAGGTGCTTTAGGCGCTTTAGAGCGAAGACGTGTGGAAGTCAAAGCTCCGGGAATTATTTCATGTAAATCTGTGCATGAACCAATGCAAACAGGATTAAAAACGGTGGATAGCCTTGTTCCAATAGCTCATGGGCTACGAGAACTTATTATTGGAGATAGACAAACAGGTAAGACTGCTATAGCTATTGATACTATATTGAATCAGAAGCAGATCAATGCAAAAGGTGCCTCTGAGAAAGATAAGCTGTATTGTGTGTATGTAGCAATTGGTCAGAAGCGTTCGACCGTCTGTGAAAAGGTGAACTAGAACGCACACAGTTGTAACACATCGCAAACAGACAATATGGCAAAGGGCACCGAAGGCAAAGGGCAATAAGGCAAAAGGCACGGAAGCAAACGACAACACGCTGCAGCAAGGCACATGGACTTGGGGGCACGGGGGAGGCGGATGGGCAGACGAACAACACGAGGCAGCGAGGGAAAAACAGCATACCCAACCAGGGCAGAGAGGGCAGACAGCACACAACCACACAAGTCACGGAAAAGACAACAACCAGCAGACAAGAAAAGTACAAGGACCGGAAAATAAAAGAGCAAAAAAAAGAAAAAGAGCGAAAAAAATAAAGACTGTCGATGAAAGATTGTTTCATCGGAGTTCCACCGACTCATCAGGAGGCTGAAACCTGAACCATCCGCTGAATCCCCATATTGATGGTTTCGTTCATGAACCCTTTGACCCTTGTTGAAGGCAGACTGTCCGCAAGCGGAACACAGCAGCAGGCAACAACACAGCGAAGCAGCAGGCAACTGTGCCGGAGCAACCCAACTGCACAATGGCAAAAACTAACTGCATGTGTACAATGCGGCAAGCGGACGTGCAGCACGGCAGCAGAGCAGCGAAGCACAGGCGAACACCAACAAAGTACCCATACGACACGGCACACAGGCAAAGAATGCAGAAGGCGAGGCATGTGGAAGGACAGCTTGGCAGCGGTGCAGCAAAGCGCAAGGCATACAGCTGCAAAGAACGACATGTGAAGCAAGCGGGGCCAGCAGCAAGGCAACAGCGAAGCGCAGGCGAGGCAGTCTACACATTGAACACGGAGCAAGGAGCACATCACCACTCAAATCACGAGTGAACCCCACAGACTGTTAATTCCCACCACCTGCTGACCCAGGAAGTCGCTCCACTGAACGTCTGTCTTCACCCATAGACCATATGCACCACACACAGATCCACAAACCGAGAGGCCCCCATAATAGTGTTACGGACACTCCAAACACCCCCACATTGATTGTTCATTGTTCAGCACTCCTCAGAGGTACTAACCCAGGCACACAGAAGTACCAAGAAAAAAACGGGGAAAGCAGACAGACAAAAAACAAGTAAAAAGACACACATAAAACTGTGTGTGTGTGTGTGTGTCTGTTGGGAGAGCGGGGGTGGGGATGGGGCAGGGGCACAATGCCTCTCTGCTCTCTCTCTCTCTCTCTCTCTCTCTCTCTCTCTCTCTCTCTCTCTCTCTCTCTCTCTCTCTCTCTCTCTCT